GGTTTGCATGGGCCCACCTCTCCAGCATGTCCAGGTCCCTCTGGTGGCCTTCCTTCCCACTCCAGCGTGTCAACCACACCACACAGCTTGGTGTCATCAGCAAACTTGCTGAGGGTGCACTGGATCCCACTATCCGTGTTGATGACAAAGGTGTTAAATAGCACCAGTCCTAACACCAACCCTTGAGGAACGCCACTCATCACTGGTCTTCACTTGGACACCAAGCTGTTGACCGTGACTCTCTTGAGTGTGACCATCCAGCCAATTCCTTGTCCACCGACTGGTCCATCTGTCAGATCCATGTGTCTCCCGTTTAGAGACAAGAGTGTCATGGGAGACAGTGTCATATGCTTTGCACAAGTCCAGGTAGATGACATCAGGTGCCCTTCCCTTATCCACCAACGCTGTAACCCTGTCGTAGAAGGCCACCAAATTTGTCAGGCACTGTTTGCTCTTAGTGAAGCCATGTTGGCTGTCACCAATCACATTTTCCATGTGCCCTAGCATAGTTTCCAGGAGGATCTGCTTCATGAGTTTGCTGGGCACAGAGGTGAGACTGACTGGCCTGTAGTTCCCTGGGTCTTCCTTTTTTCCCTTTTTAAATATGGTGGTGATGGTTCCCCTTTTCCAATCAGCGGGAACTTCACTGGACTGCCACGACTTCTCCAGTATGATGGATAGTGGCTTAGCCACTTCATCTGCCAGCTCCCTCAGGACCCGCAGGTGCACCTCATCAGGTCCCATGGACTTGTGCACCTTCAGGTTCCTTAGGTGGTCTTGAACCTGATCTTCTCTTACAGTGGGCTGTTCTTCATTCTGCCAGTCCCTGCCTTTGCCTTCAGTGACTTGGGTGGTGTGGCTGGAGCACTTGCTGATGAAGATGGAGGCAAAAAAATTGTTGAGTACCTCAGCCTTCTCCATACCCCGGGTAACCAGTCATGTATTTTCAAACCTTTTAGCAGTGTTTGCACTGGAATTTTTCACCTAAAAGACACAGAAGTTTAGAGCACCACTTGATGCTTTTTCTAAAGACTTCAGGTTCTATCAAAAAAGGGCTACATCCCAGCCCAGCAGCCATGGGTGGTGGCTTACTCATAAGCGTTGTCCTCCTGGTATGTATGGGAATAGGTACATGCGAGCTTATGCTGTGAAAGGGAATAAAATCTGGCCCATGACACTTGAGTAATCTGGTTATTTTAATCACTACTTGTGACTCTCTGAATTATCAGCTGTATTATGGGATAATATGATCTCTTCAGTATTCAGCAATGACTTTTTAAAAATTACCATATGTATTATACAGAGCTAATATATTAAAAGATACCTTAAGGGTAATTATCAAGTGTGTAATTTCATCTGTAGGTTATTATAATGATTGTTAATGTCATAAATGCCTTTTAATGAAATTATAGGCTTGTAACCCTGTCTGTCTATCCTTTGTGTGTCATATAATTAATAAGACCAGGCTTTGGTGTCCATCTTGCTAACAGCATCATGTAAACTTCCATACTGATGGTATTCTCATCAGAGTAAGAATAAGGTTATGGCCAGGCAGCTTGAGTTCGTGTTACCTTATCTTTAAAGGCAGCTGGATGGGCTTGTTAACAAAAGTACTTCTGACAGAATATATATGCTTATTTTAAAACAAGGCCATTGATCTAATGTCTTATTATAATGCTACATGCAAATTTTAAGGGAATGAAAAGGCAAGTGGGTTGCAGCACTTGGAATAAAGAATTGTTTTCCTTTGAATCCACTGAGGGTAGTGAAAATTTGTGTCCAACTTAAAAGCATTTGGAGATGGATAAGAAGCTTTGTTTTGAATTGAAGACACTTGCCTAGAACATAGATGAGCTGGGATTGTTTCCCAGTCTGGCCTAATTTCGGTGAGGGTCTGGCTAAACTGATTATTTATTATGGTCTTGAGGTTTTCTGTCTGAAAAATAAGGGCCGTAATATTTCTTTTCTTTGTCTCACATTTCCAGTTTTTAAACTTGCTGGAGCAAAGCAAAAAAATCTGTGCAGTTTTATGTTGGGTTTTTTCCTTTGTCAATTACCATAGAACCTTACAGAATCATTCACATTGGAAGGAATCTAAGGTCATGTAATCCCACCTCCTGCTCAGAGCAAGGGCAGTGTTGAACTTCTGCCCCCTAGATAATTTCCTTATTGTGCATATTGATAAAGGAACCAGAAATTTTACATGTCACCAGTGATAAATAGCTCTAAAAAATCATGTAAGACTCATTATGATTATTTTACTGTCCTTTGTCCTTCAGGGAATGATGTACCTGGAAGAGAGGAGACTTGTTCACCGGGACTTGGCAGCTCGTAATGTCTTAGTGAAATCACCAAACCATGTGAAGATCACTGACTTTGGGCTGGCCAGACTTTTGGAAGGGGATGAAAAGGAGTATAATGCTGATGGAGGGAAGGTGAGTGCTGAACATATCTGGAAATAAATATATCACACAGTGACAAACCTCCTGAAGTTACTTTTTAGGGCAGTGTATCCCTATGGGACTATTATCTGTATAAGGAAGTCTTGTCAGTGACTTAGCAAAGCCCTGTCTTCTACAAGAACTGTGTTGTGATAGCACATATAAAAGCTGATGATGTTTTTGCTCAGTGAGCTTCTTCAGGAGCCAAAATATAGTTGTCTGAACAGTTTTCACACTCAGAATTAGGTTTTCTTCACATGTTCCATTTTGTGCCTTGTTTTGAAGACTTCTGAAGTCAATTCAATGAGTGACAGATGTTCTAGGATATTCCTGCCAATCTCCTTTCTCTGGTCAGTATGGACCTCAGTAACTTGCAGTCCAATTTTCCTAGTCAAATAATTTTCCAGAAAACAAGAAAGGAAGGCCACAGAACATGTTTGTATTTGTAGCATATGAGAGTTTGCATATGCTCAGCAAAGAGCTACCTCTTCTATCACATTGGAAGAGCCTGCATATGCTATTGCTTGCATCGAAGTCTCCAATACCATGCTGAATGCCAGGCCACTAAAAAGCTATCTTGAGGATAATTTTAAAACCAGACATTTTCCCATATTACTTTTCAGCATACCACACAAGATCCATATAGTGCCTCCCCTCATTCCTAATGCCTTCAGATTAACGCATTACAAAATTCAGAAGCCTGTACATACATAATGCTCCAGCTGCTCCCTAAACATTTTGAAATTCCACGTTTCAACCTGTCACAAAATCCCAAGGGATTCTGCCTCTCCTGTTATTCCTTTCTCTCAGTGTTCAGTTATCTTTCTGTCTACTTGCTTCCTGTGTTTTTCTGTGCTCACTTATGCCCTTGTCTGGGAGAAACAGCTGTTGCCAGTGTGTGCTTTTCTCCTGGATGGGCTGCTGTCTTATTTGTGTGGCTGCGTCCCTTGGCAGCTGTTCCATGGATTACATCGGTATTTCAGTCAATGAGGTGAAGAGCTTGAAAGTAGTCATCGGTGCTTTCCCATTTCCCCAGTTAAAAGGCCTCCTGCCAGGGAAGGTGGAGTTTTGGCAGTTTTCCCTGATTCCTTCAGTTGTCTAATGCCCTCTTCAGTAACCTCTCTGCCTCTTCCCTCCATCATCCAGTGAATGACAGAAAATGAGCTGATCCTTGCAAACCAGCTGTTCCCTGGCAGCTGTTAGATGGTGTCTTGCACTTATGAGGCCAAATGTGTCACTTCCCAGTTCCAGAGAAGTGTCCTGTGAAATCCAGAAGACATTTGGAGCTTAAAGTTGTATTGAGAGCATGCTGAGGCAGATTCAGACCGGATAAAAGGAAAAAGTTTCTCACCATGAGGACAATCAAGTGGTTGATCAGGTTGCCCAAGGAGATGGTGCAGTTTCCATCCTTAGAGATTTTCAAGTCCAGACTGGATAAAGCCCTGAGTAACTTGGTCTGATCTCACAGCTGAACCTACTTTGAGCCTGAAGTTGGACTAGAGACCTCCTGAGGTCCCTTGCAACCTGAGTTATCCCACGATGAGCATGCATGCAGCTTTGCTACTTCAGCAGTTGTTCAAGTTTGGAATGACCCAGTGGTATGTAATGGGAATGAAAGCGATACACTTCTGCAGTTTAGTGGAGGAGGATAAACTGTCGTTACAAGCGTTAAGCCAACATTTATGAAAGAGTGCTATTTTTACCATAACGGTATAGCTTATGTTCATTAGTCAACTTTGTGGAAGGTTTCATAAGGGTTTCAATAAAGACACATCCTCTGCTTTCACACCCACCATCTGTTCAGATTTTGTGTGCAGTTAGGTATCTCTCTGGTTTATTCCAGTATATCTTCCATATTTCCAAATAGAGGCAACCCATACAAGTCCACGCCAGGTAGAAATCTGGTTTTAATGTCTGTTTGTTAGAAAGTAATGGGCTGACTGTGCTTCTCAGGCCCAGCTTAGGAATAGGAAACACCATGAATCTCATTTTAACACAAACTTAAAAGGGCGAACCATTATGCCAAACTAGGTTTGTATTTGCCTACACAGCCTTCTCTCTCAGAAGAGATGAGCTCCCCCCAAGGGTGATTCAGAGCCAAAGGCTAACTTGTGACTTTTGACTTGCTTTCAGGAGCAACTTTTCCCACTGCAGTAATGATACAGAGAACTAGGAAGGCTAAGTTCCTAATGAATATTAGGAGTTAGAAATTAAACACTGTAGCTTCTCCTCATTGCCTGTTTACTCTGATGATGATTATGTGGACTATGAAGTACTGTGGACACTGCATTATTAACTAGCCTCATCAGAGAGCAATTGAGATAGCAGTGTCTGATTTTGCGAAGTGTTGAGGCAAAAGAGCTTCTGTATTCCACCTCCTCTGATGGACCTCAGATTTAGGAGGATTGGTTGTATTTTTTGCATTGGTCCCATCTTTACATGGGTGTGATGAAAAAGTGAGTTGTTCCACTACATCTGAATCAGTACAATTTGGCTGGTGTGAGTTCTGCAGATAACTGGTTCGTATTTCTCACCTCCATATGTTTTATGAGGCAAAGCCCCATTCTATAGGACAGGAAAAACCGTTTCCTCTGCTGGGTAGTGCTGCTTTCTTGTAAACTTGCAGTTGAAAAAGAAAACTGGGAGGAAGCTGATGTCTACATACAGGATCTATCTTTATTGTTTTAATACTG